AGCTGTTTGGAAAATGAATATAAAATTTTAAATGACTTTCTTGATCGGTATTTTTCATAGTACCAAATAAGAAACAATTATTTTACACATTTGTATGCTGCCAATTTCAGGTAATCAAAATGACACGAAAGTATTGGAAAGTTATTTGTGTACTTCATAAAAATGAAATGAAATTTTATTTTTTTTAGTGTGAATTTTTAATCTTGAAAAAGTGTAAAATCAATAATAAAAACTTAATAGTTTATTTAATTTTTTTAATGTGGATATACTACTGCAAGTTAAACAAATTTTTTAGATAGAAACTCCATACTTAATGTATATAAGATTGTCTTTTATCAGTCTTTATTGTTAATTTAATTATATTTAGTTGATATGTATGATATAAATATATCGATGTCTGTAATTTCCTAACCTCAATCTAATACTATAATATTTAGGATATCATTTATATAACTTCCTTAAGAAGGTGTCTTTGAAAAATGATCTACTCGCACCTGAGCACATTTGAAGCATTGCCACTTTTAGGGGCTTTCCTTTCTGGCCATCAATTTGGATTTTTTTTTTTTTTTTTTTAAGAGGCTACACTTTTTTTTCGTTGACTGAAAGAGGGGAAGCTGTGCGACAAGTTTGCCGGCAAAATGCAGTCGATGCGAATGCTTCTCAGCTGCAAGTGCAGGTCGGTGCAAGATGATTGTGAGATGTCGATGTCGAGACACTGAGGTAATGCTCTCTTTTCCACTCTCTCCATCATATCTCTCTCTATGGTAGTATGCCTCTTGAAGCTAGAGCTTGTTTGCCCGATACGGCGGCTCTCCGAGATATGGCGGCAAATATATCTGCACACTTGGACCACAATTACCTAGACTCGACTCCGTAATACGTTCAGTTCTCATTTCGATTTCCAGTGGTGCGATCGTGCGCTCCGCTACCTTGCCGGTGGTGCCACCTCATACTCATCCACCCATCGTTGGGCGTTTGAGATCGCGTATCGAAATAGGATCTATTAACTAGTTATCCTTATTATCTATTATCCTTGTTAACGAAAGTATTCGCCCGCGTGTGTGTGTAGATGTGCCTGCAGTGCACTTTTTCACAAAACATTTGATTTATTTTGGAATTGGAATTGTAATTGTCGACACAGAGGGAAAATATAACATTATGGGGCTATATTATATATTGTTTCTTGATTAAATTAATTTATATATTTTATAGATTTTATTATTTACCTTTACATTCGTTTTAAAATTGTCAAAAGCCTTATGTAATTTTATATTTTCTGTTTGTGTCATGAAAAAGAGACTCCTTGAAAGGACTTTCAATAACCCCAACCCAAACCATCAAAAACCACAGCTAAGATCCTCTTAAAATGTATCCTTCTTCTTTATAAATCTATCCATCAAAGCTAGTCTGACCAAATCGATCAAGTAAATATGAATAATAGCTCTTAATTGCGAATATTTCCGCCAACACCTTCTGTTTGTCAAGTGGCAATATTGATTGTGGCTTTGGCTCGGTTAATGTTTGATCTGCCAACCGGATACCCATTAAGCTAAATTGCCACCAAATGTTTATAATTTAGTTTGTTCATCAAATCACTATTTGTAGCCACTCTAAGTTGTGCAAATTTCGACCGTAGAGCAAATATAAGTCGTTAAGTTTGTGAGGAACAAATACTAGATGCTTGATCTATAATAATTGTAAATGGGTAAAGCACATTCCTTCTAGAAACTATGTTGCTGTGATTTTCAGCGATATTTTATGTGCGTGAGGAGGCGTTTCAATATTGTTCGAGAATATTAAAATTATTTCAACCCATAACTTTTGGTAACAGGCGAGACATATACATAGATTTATATGGTAAAAACTACAATCATAATTATGATTAATTTTCAGTTTTTATAGTTTTGTTTTGGTTAAACTTCAAATCGTTGCCTTTCTGGGTTAACCTGCAGACGTATGTTTGAAATTAAAGTTAATAATTGGCTTTTTTGAGTTCTTAATAGTGGAACGTGTTTGCTATTTCGAATAAGTAATTATTTAGTAATTAATATGTTAAATATTACCACTGCTGTTTCTCATAATATTGAAATTTTGATGAAGAAATATTTAAGGAGAGTTTCGATTTAGTTGCTACACCTATGAAATATTTTCACTTTTCGCACTCCTCACAAAAAAACTGTAGCAATTTTCACATCGTTGCTGGAATATGTTGCATATATTAATTTATTCAAAATTCAGCCAAAAAGAAAAGCCAGAAATTCCTGACAAACGTGTAGACAAGTTGGCTAAAATACAAAAAGCGAGAAAAAAAAATTCAAGAAAAACGCAACTGCCGGAACGGCCAGGTTAACCCAAAATGCCTTACATGGCTTTGACTTACTGCCCAGGCAGACAGTTTGAATACTTTACTTTGCCTTGTTGTTCAGGCAAGTCATAAATATATATACATATATTCATAGCCAGCTGGGGAGTTTTCCTTCTTGGGACCTGGAAATTTTCGGAGGATTGTGGGCGTTGTTGACACGTCTCACGGCACAGGCCAATAATTATTATAGAATACTTGTACTTTGGTTATAAGAGGTGAATTAACATATGTTGGCCAGGCTCGAATGTAAAGTTTCTCGCCACCTTTCAAACTAGCGAATTGGACACATTTAACACATTTGATACACATTTCCTTTTTGAAGTTGAGGGAAAGAGGAACTAACAGTTGCAAATTTTGGTTAATTAGCTTGGGACCTTTAAATGAAAAGAGCTAAGTAAACCGCTTCAACGATAGACACACTCTCTTGTTTATTATGTAATAAAAATGCATACAAATGTGCGCTAATTGTTGCATGTCGCCCCTCGAAAGGCCCTTTTTTCTTACATTTTTTTTTATTTATTTTGTGAACCACTTTGTTTCGTGACGCTTTGAGCGGTTTGAGGTGGGCCAAGTCCACTCAAAAGTTTGATTTTTTCTTTGTCGCGGCTGTCATCTCAAGTTTCCGGTTCGTAGGACTGAAGATGAGATGTGGCTGGTATCTGTAAAAATGTAAAAAGTTTGGATTTTGATTAAAATAAAGAGAAAAATTCGTATCTCATTAATAAATCCCTTTTGATTTATATTTCTAAAGCTATTTACGAGTAGTAAACATTATAAATAATTGTACAGCTCAACAATTTTTATTTGCTTAGGTCAGTTACTTACATTTCAATTGCATTTGTATTTGTTTTCATTGCTCGAGACAGCAACTTTTGATTATGTCAAAAGCGCGTTGAAATTGTTGAAATTATTTTCTGTTTACTCAAGTTCGTGTTTATTTTTGTTTTTGGTCATAATACTTGTTGTTGCTCACTTTGCGGTGATTGATGAGCAAAGCTATTTATTTTTATTTTGGTTTTTAAAATGTATTAGTAACTAACTGGATCATTGAAAAAAGTTAAATGTAGGGAAGCAGAAAATTAACAGCATAAATGGGTTAAAATGGTAGTTTTGATATTACCTTAAAAATGGCTCTGTAAGTTTAACAACCTTAATAGCAGTTACCATCTGAACTACATAAAGAAACAGACTTGGCAAACACTATTTATTTTGTTATATAAACATATTCGCATTTAATTCTTATGACGGAAATGGGGAAAACCTGAAGGAAAGAGCGAAAGTAATCTGATTGCGACTTAATCTCGTGCATAAAGAAGCAGGAAATCCACTTTTCTATATGTAACAATAAAGCCGCAGCCATGACATAATATATGCCTACAATACTATATACTATATGCACACGAGAAAACGCATTTAAAAGAATTTATTCAGAGAGTCGCAATTAATTGTACGAATTGTTGAAAGCGGTCAGTGACCAAGAAATGCCTTGCAATAATGAATATATATATCTTTTTGGCTATATCCACCAAAAATAATTGGTCTTATCGCGTTCTCAACTTGACATAATTTGATCAATTTATTTATAAACTGCCAACGCCCCCGCCCGCAATATTTGTTTTTAAATCGTCTTTTTGACACAATTTCTAGTTTCACGCATATTTCCTTGAATGGCATATATAATGTATCTTATAGTATATTTTCAGTCTGCCTAATTAGTTTTATGGCTTTTACATAAAGATCTGTCAGATATATTTTTGACACAAGCTTCTTAAAATCATCTTTAAAATTGCAAAAATGCAATGCAATATATATATTTGCAAAGCTCTGGCTACCAAAAATGACAAAGTTGGGAAATAATTTTTCTATTTATACATCTTGTTGTTTTAAAATTGTTATGATTCTGAGATTTGAAAACCACTTGATCTGTGTTTTCCCCAGAATTATTTAAATAAGTTCATGACGACTAATAAATATGCGATTATTATCACGACTGCTACTCAAATGTGGATCATGAAACTCTCTGAGTGATGTCTGGTTTTTTTCACCTCTCTATCTGAAGCTCCCCCTCACAGTATTTCACAGCTGTTGCCAGTTCGCTCATACGAAAAAAAAAATAAAATAAGAAACAAAACGTTTTCGTTGTGAGTTCGAATATTTGTTTCCATATTTACATACCTTGCACCTCCGTCAGTCGAGTATAATGGCTTGCTCCAGATATTTACCTCTCGGCAATCAGCTGGATAAGATTCCAACGTGGCTTTTAGCACTGAGTTAACTCTTTTTTTCACGAATATGATTTCGAATCTGTAGCAGGGTCACAGCTGTGGTGGTGTTTGATCAACTAATACTTAAAAATAAATTTAATTGAATTATCATCCGGATTAGAGAACCAAAAAATTGAATGTAAGCAAAATGCTGCTACAATTCGTTATGAAGTTCATTTGTTGTGAGTTGAAAAAACTGAAAACAAACCTGACCATGTTTCTAATATTCTTCTGGATTATATGGTTCTCCCAAATAATAGCCATATCAACGGTGTTCATGAGGTGGGATATGAACCTTAATTATTATTAATAACTCTTTAAAATTTGTATAAGTTTTATATGCAGATATTAATTTCACAATTTTTTATTAGCTTTCCAGAGATCATTACGGAGCTGCCAACTGTTACTATTACAGAGCTACCTCTGGATCGGTTGAAGAACCGCCTGGAATCGATTATATTGGATGATTCCCAGGTTACAGCGGGCAACCAAAGCGAGGAGGAGCAACATCAAGAGCAGGCACCTCGCCAAGATCAGCCCAAGAAACTGTATGAGGCTGACAAGGAGGAAGTGCCTCAAAAGGGTAAGAAATTTAAAACAAATTTGAGATTTTATGAAGGTTTCAAATGACTTATCTTACTATAAAATCTTTTTATATTTAATAATATACTTACATAAAATATATCATTTTCAGATGAGCAAATGCCGAAGATAAACGATCCTGGAGGAGGCATCGAACTAGATGGTTTAGCAGCAACACAGCAAGCTACGCCAGTGGGGGAAGGCAATGAGACTAGTGAGGAATTGCCGACTGCAGCAGGATCCTCTGGATCATCTGCATCCAATGACACAGAGGCCACGGCCAATCTGACAAATGCCAACGAGGAGGTACCCATGCCGGTGTTCTCCGAGTGGGCACAAAAGCAAATGGAAGCTGAGGCTAGCCGAGAGCAGGCCATGGAGCTAGAACAGCAGGTGGTAAATAACTCCGCCCAACGGAGGAACAATACGGGATCATCGAGTGGAAAGCCGCCGACGCTGATGGTTCGCTCGAAAAACTATGCCTCGCCGGATTGCGGAGCCAAGATCATTGCACATAATTCGGGGTCCAAGAATACGGAGGCCGTGCTCACCCAATCCACCGATGAGTACATGCTAAGTATTTGCGAAAGTCGAATTTGGTTCGTCGTGGAGCTATGTGAGGCCATTCAGGCACAAAAGGTGGACGTTGCAAACTATGAGCTCTTCAGTTCGTCACCGAAAAACTTTACGGTATCCGTTTCGAAGAGATTTCCCACTCGGGATTGGAGTAACGTAGGACGTTTTGCGGCGGAGGACAAGCGAACAATTCAGACCTTTGACCTGCATCCACATTTGTTTGGAAAATTCGTGCGCGTTGAGATCACTTCGCACTATTCCAATGAGCACTTTTGTCCACTTTCGTTGTTCCGCGTTTCTGGTACCTCTGAGTATGAGGCTTTTGAAACAGAAATCCGACCGAGCGATGATCTGGACGATTTCTACGATGACTATGGAGCTCAAGAACAGAAAGCAGCCGTGGGCAGTGGCGGTAACATCTTCCAAAGCGCCTCGGACGCTGTTATGCAGATAGTTAAGAAGGCAGCCGAGGTGCTGGTGAAACCCACTAAGGCTCTGAAGTGGTCAGCGGAGTCGTTGCTCTGCCAAACGCCTGCCTTTGAAGCTTACAGCTGCAGCAACTGCAATAGCACTCTGGTGGAGAGGATTAACAGCCTTCTATCCTGCCAATTTCAGCAACTACAAGGACTGCTTAGTCTCTCTCGCTTACGGTCAGATCTTCTGCAAAGTCGCGTTTGCCAGGAAGATTTCGGCATACGGCTGACGGGCTCGAATTTCTCCAGTAAAATGGGCAAGGAGCAGAGCTATTTCCTAAGCATGTTGCCAACGGAGCATATTGGAGCCATGTGTAAACTGATCCAGGCTGAGCAAAATGTAACCGATCAACAGCAAACGAAGACGCCAGCGATGAAGAGGCAGGTTAGCTCACCAGAGCAACTGCAGGATAATGCCACAGCAACGGGAGTTCGTCAAGATTGTGAGAACATCGAAGGCAGTCGAAAAAAGGAAACTCTTGTGAAGGAACCTCCAACACCCAGTTTGGAGGTTGTGGTGCCTGAATCCAGCCAAGAAGTGCCTTCAATGGAAGACCAGTCATCAACTTCCAGCGAATCGGTCTCCACTACAAACTCCACGCCCGCGGATGTGAATATATTCAATGTGCCAGCAGATTCCGAAGAAGTGGTGGTGCCCAAAGTGCAGCTCCCTCAAGAGCCAACACTACCAACCACTTTGGAACCCAGCGATATAGAGACCTCTACCAACGCTCCAGCTACCAATGTGCCTCCGACCTCCAGTGAAACTTCGGCCAATGGAGATTTAACCATTGAGGATGGAAATCCGGCCAACTGGGAAAGCATTGACAATCTACTGACCACCACGGTGGCCTCGATAACTGCCGGCGGTGGAGCAGCTGCCGCAGCAGCGGCTGTAGTGAACGGAAACGGCAATCTGGGTGTGGCAGGCGTAGCCGGAGCAGGAGGAACAGCCACGGGATCTGGTGTGAATCTGCAGCAAAAGTTGACGAATGGCGCCCAATCGGAGAGTGTGTTCATCATGCTTTCCAACCGAATAAAGGTGAGTGTTATAGCTCCTTCTTTTCAAGTGGGTTTCCGCCCATTCATGTGCGTCATCAGTTGGCGTGGCAAAAAAAAAAATAACAAATAAACAAACAAACAAACTAGAAACTAGCTAGGCAACCACCCACACAGGATGAGGTGGGGAGCAGGAGAAGCCTTCGCAGTGGCAGGAAGACAAAAGCAAAATTATTCACTAGCAAGGAGTCCGTGTTATTATGTTTGAAACCGGGTGTGAAGATAATTATTCATCAAAGGGAAGGAATTTCATATAAAGGGTTTCTTACTATCAAAGCACTACTTGGAATACACTTAAAACAGAACCTTGTAACATGTTATGAAACTTCATTATAAATTAAATATATAAACTACATTATTTTAAATAACAGAGTTACGATCCCCAGAAATACTTAAATCATAACTAACTTTCCAAGCCAATTTTAGGATAGCCCATATTCGACTCTCCCAAATTAGTTTTGTTGACTTGTTTATAGTCAACTTGCGTGCTGGCTGCTCATTACAAGCGGCAGCCACTTCCCGTTTTGGACTCCGCCCAAGGACCGAAAGGTGGTTCATCCTTGTAACAGTTCTGCTAGCCAATTCGCTACCTTGCCGACCGACGTCATCAATATACATATGCGAAACCATTCAAAACCATACCAAAGCGACACTGAAAGAAAGTCACACTCTGTGATAATGAGATATCTTTGATAAAACGTTTTAAAAGTTAATATTTTTTGGCTAAAATATTTTCTATATAATATAATTCGTACTGACATTTAGATTAATTAGTTAATTAGTTGGCTAGTATCACCGATTTTTCTCTGTGTTCCTCCCACAACATTTTCTAACCTCTGGCGTTTGTGCGACGCTTTTTGTCTTCCACAGGCGCTCGAACGGAAACATGTCGTTGTCTGGACAGTACCTGGAGGAGCTATCGAGACGCTACAAAAAACAGGTGGAGGAACTGCAGCAAACACTGACGCAACAGACACTCACGGTGCGGCAGTTGGAGGATCAGAGCCGGCGGTATGTGGAGCAGGAGCAGTTGTACCAGCAGCAAAGCGCAGAACTAGCCGGTGAGGTGAGAGCACTGTCGTACCAGGTTCAGGCCTGCATCCTGGTCATAATCATTGTGGGAACCTGCATCTTTCTGATGCTAGTCCTTGGCACTGTCTACTATCGCAAGCTGCGTCGCCAGCAGCAGCAGTTGCTTAAAAAGAATCAACCGGGAAATCCACCTGTGGCTACCAAACCCAAGCTCGACCGACGTAAATCCTACGAACAGATGCCGAATCAAACCACTCCCAAGCAACGGCGTCCCAGTGAGGAGGCCATGCTCATTCTGAAGGAGTGCGGGGACAACGTCTTGCATGAGCAGGATTCTACGAACAGGCAGCGCAAGATTTCCGTTTGTTATGGCAGCAACAATAACATAGCAGCCAATATGATAAATGCTACCACAAATGGTGGCCGGAGTTCCCTACACAGACGCAAGGGAGCCAAGCACTCCTGGCACAGCAGTATGGACACCACGGAGACATCCTGTGGCGAGCAAACAGACAAGTTCTTTGATGTGGGTAAGTACAGCATGGAAAAACCTCCATTTGAACAAAATATTAACCTGTAATCACCATTCCAGACACCCTCAAGAGCATTAAACAAAGCTCCGGCAAGGCGAGCAAAAAGAAATCCCAGCAGCAACAGCACATACTAGCTCTTAAACGACAGGAATCTGCGCCAGCTAGCTTCCCGCAGGATCAGTTAACCGAAGAACTGGCGACACAGAGCGACTTTGATGAAAGCCTAATGCTGGACAACGATGATCTGCCCAACTTTATACCCACCAGTGACTTGGCCTACAATGAGTTTATGCCCGAAGGACCCTCCGGCTACCAGATACTGGACACAGTAGACGGAAAGACCAGCAAAGAGCAGGGAACAAAGAAATCGCGACGCCTATCCTCGCCAGCATTCTTCAAGTCGCCATTTAGCAAGAGCAAAAACAAGGGCTACAGTTTCAATGGGATCAAAAACAGTCACTCCGTACACGAGCCCACGTCCTGGGAGTGGTACCGCCTTAAGCGAAACGAGAAGCACCAGCAGCAACAGCAGGCGAAGCTGGCCAGCAAGAGCATGCCCAGCACCAGTTTAGACAGCTCATCACTGTCGGAGGTTAATTTTCCGCTTAGTTCTAACACCGCCACGCAAAATTCTTTCCGGATATTGGGGGAGGCCATTCTGTCCTCCGGGGAAGGACGCATCACCCCGAACGGGAATGGCAATGCAACGTCCGGTGGCATGGCAAGCAGCAGTAGTGGAAGTGGTAGTGGTGGCAGCACCACATCATCAACTACCAAGAAAAAACAGCGAGCCCTTAATAACCTATTTCGCAAGGCTTTTGATTTTTAAGTAGAGCCCAGTGTTTCGACTTAGTTAACATTTTTACATCAGCGCATATTCTTATATATTCGGATAGAACCTTTTGGGTTCGCCATTCGAAAAATTGTTTGTACAAACGAATTGTTATTTTTTTATAGATTTTGAAGAGGCGTTGAGAGATGAAGAAGAATAAAGTGTGAGTTCCTTTTGAGTTGCAGTGAAATGCAAATGACTGTTAAGCGAAAAACAACAAATTTAAGTATAGTACTTATATATATTTTGTAGTATGCTTGATTGCATAGCTTAAACCAGCCTAGATTAATTGTATACGTATATTCCAAGCCTCGTCATTCTTGCTATATTCCCCAATCCCAAGATTATGTACTCTAAGTGATGAACGAACATTTGCAAATTATTGCCACACATTTAGTTTGTTATACTTAGCAATTTCTACATAAAATTAGTTTAGTTTAGTCTTTATTTATAAATAAATACAATTAACATTTATTTAAAAACGTAAATGGTCTTTGCTAATGATTCTCCTACACAACGATCAAATTTTCAACTCGCTAAGGAACTCTGCTACCTCAAGGGCATCCTCGCTGGCCAATTTTGTTTCTTTGACGGCATTATTCAATCCTCGGCCAGCGGTGCCCAAATTCCTTTTCCACTGTTCGACAGTTTTGTACTTTTCATCGTTGGCACAGTATATAATCTCGTTGATGTCTTCGTCTAACTTATAGCTACACATAGCCGGAAACACCTTATGAAGATTATCAAGTGCTTGAGTTCGAAGGCTTTCATCGCGGCATACAAGATTGAGCATAAAAAGGCCTTTCGGTCCGATGATCTCCTTAATGTGCTCCAGGATTTTGTTGGCCAGGAAGCTTTGTGGTGGACAACTCATACCCAGACTTAGATCCTTGCTGTCCACATCGAATAATACGGCATCGAAGTGGATATCTATGATGGAAGATTTATTAATATAATGTTAAATTTAATATAGCCTACTACCTTCACTGCAACAGCGTGCCACGAAATCCAGTCCATCATCGATAACCACATGAAATCGTTTGTCCTGCTTGAGCTCGAAATATTGCTCAGCGACCTCCAGCATAATAGGATCGATTTCCACAGCCGTAATTCTAGCTTGACTGAAAGATTCGATTAGTACAATTTCCTTAATAAATTGCATATAAACCTACGGCATGGCGGCATGAAGAAAGCTGCAGAGACCACCGCCACCCAAGCCGATAACTAGAATATCTTTTTCAACATCCTTTTTGGGATTCTGTAATGTGATTGCCAGTTGGACACCCACGGACATGTACAAATGATGCTGACAGGCTAAGTAGCCAAAGTCGATCTTTCTACGATCCTTTTTGCCTTTTATTTTAACTAAAACAATTTAAAGCATTAATAAAAATCTCACTTTTTTTAATGTAAATGTACTTACTTGTTTTGACCAATGCTTCTGACTGCACGACAAACTGATTGCTTAGGAATATAAGACGTCGTAGGGTTTTGCCATTGGCCTCGACTTCTTCGATGCGGAAATCTCCTGATATTTTCGAGAACCCACAAATGAGAGTCTCTCTCTTACCCACATCAGAGCCAAGAGAAAGATATGGTATCTGCTCACTGAGTCCAGCCGGCGATATGTTCTTTATGCTATCAGCCAACTCTGATTTAACTTCGTCTAAGGTATTGTAAATCTGATCCTCGATGAAGGGTAACCACAGCCAATCGCTGGAAGTTGGCGGAGTCCTGGAGCTTTTTCCGCCCAGTGGGGGTGGCAAAAAGCCACTCCACCTCTCTTCCCTGAGGCACAATAAACGCCGCATATTTTCCCATACCTCGGGCTGGAGGCTTATCCAATATGTAGATGGTATACCGAGGAGTTTGTTCTGTGGGACGGTGTAGATCCATAACAACCTCGTTGTGACCAGCTATATTTGATCTGGCCAAGCCGTTGCAAATCAAAGCGGCTTTTTGTACAGAGGAAACTGCATTATTCAGCTCGGAAATTGTAGTGAATCTCTGCATCTTATCATTGCCAAAACCAAATTCGAGAATCTGGGAATATATGTTCATTTGAAAAAAAATTATCGATTTCCTTCTTTAGGAGTCTACTTACAGGCATCGGAAGACTCTTAAACTTGGTGGCAACAACTACAAAAACTGGAAGTGTCAAGGCATCGTCGGCATTCTTTTCCTTGTTGGCCTGTTCCACTCCCAAGCAGTGCACAATTCTCAACATGCAATTGTGTTTGGGCAGGAAATCCAGCAGGAAGTTGAGGATGTGCTCTTGTAGTAGAGAAATACCCACATAACGACCACCATTGCTAAAATATAAAAAAGGGATTAAATAGAATATTTAATATTTTAGATAATTTATATAACACACCGCATGGTCCTGAGTATTTCCTTGAAATAGTTCTCCACCACCAGTATCGTTTCGGGGGCATCATCAGCAAACAGAGCATCCAGAGTTCCCTTGTCCAAAGCCACCGAGAAGCTTTCATCTGGGAAACTCATGGCTGTGGCATCCATTTGGAGGAATTTCATATCAGGACGGGTTTTGGCATTAAGTTCTAACATTTTCTTCACAGCGATGGGTGAAATATCAATGTTTGTGATTTCCCTGAAAAAATGTAAACATTTAATATGGGTTTTTCAGAGGATAATAATAAGAAATACTTACCGAAATCCCGAATCGTACATATCCATACTCAGTTTGGAGTTACCGCATCCTAGCATCAGGACTTTATCTGACGGCTTTATATATTTGTGAATCTGATCGCACAACTCCAGATATTCGCCATACCTTAAATATGTATATATATATCACATTAATTTAAGTATTCCATTAGTAAAAACACATGTTGCATGATTTATTCCCAGGAGTCTCAAGAATGTATAACCCTTAACATACCACTCAAATGCCTTTTCACCTCGCTTTTTGAAGAACTCGTTCCAGTAATCCGTCTGCGCGAATTCCTCTCGTGTTTTGGGTAGTAAATTCATTATTTTTATAACAATAAAAAGGATGTCAAAATAAACAATAAGCGGCAAAATGTAATTGTTTATAGCATTGCCATTCAAACTGATTGGCACTCAAAAGTGTGACCGATGAAAAGGAATATCGGTAAATAAATTCTAGAAATCTTTACAATGATTCACTATATGAAATATGACACGTATTTTACGATTATACTCAAATATATTAAATTTTAAATATAATAAAACAAATTTGTAAAAATGTATTCAAAAATAATAAAATTGGTCAATGTTTAATTTCAACCGTTTTTTAACACTGTCGCCATCGATTAGTGTGACCCTCTAGTAGATAATCTGTGTGATATGCCATTCACAGCGACTAGCCGACAGGCACTGATTGGACAATTTCTTTGCCAAAGCAATCTTCCAAACAGTTTCCTGCGCTTTGAACTGTATTTACATAACGATTTCCCAGGATTTTCGAGGTACCCAGTGTGCACAGTATCTTTCTCCATGTGGAAGTGTTTATTGAATTAGAAAATAGCCGAGAAATCAGGCGATAAGCGAGGTGAAAGCAGGCGATACTGATCAAGAAAAAGGGGGAGGAGGTGGTTCCTCTGAAGAAATCGAATCTAATCGAGAGCTCCGCCACTTGATAGCAAAATGGAAAATCTGTAAAGCTATCGGCAAATGCAAAAGGAACTGGGATTAGTATCCTCCGAACTGGGACTGGGTTTCGATTTAGATTTGGGGGCCGCGGAGCGGTGTAAATGCGTGCGGCCGTTGGCCTGATGCTGTCACACGGTGGTGGTGGCGTGGAGCCAGCGATGTCCCGGCCGGATTACGAGCAGAGCGCCCTGCACCACAGCTGCCTGCTGGTGCTGCTCCGTGGCGTGGGACCATCTCGCGCCCGAATCCTCCAGCGGGCGTTTGAGAAAGTGCGACGTGTCAACCACATTCGGGTGAATGGTGAGTGGTGCTCCTATTTTTACTTCTTAATCTTAATCTTCCTATCATCTCTTCCAAAGACTCCTCTGGCAATCCACGCTCTATTTGGATACGCTTTGTTCACGATCATCCCGTGGAACACAATGATTGGGGCGACTTCCAGACACATCGACGTCTGCTTGGACTTATCACTATAGGCAAATTCGATAACCAAACGGAACTTAATGAGCTGTGCCGTCAGCATGAATCCCTGAAAGTTCGGTATGGCTCTACTCTGTACGAATCCCGTGCCATTTTCTTTGGACCCGGAGAACCGCCACTGGAAACCATTGGCGAGGTTCTACCACCACAGGCGCCAGCTGTAGGAAGTCGCCTACAGGATGAGTTTACTACGCCCTCGAACTTTAAGGCTCAGGCCTTCTTCTATCGCGAACATGATCCTTGCGTAGATCTGGAAACTCGGATTGGAGACTTTGCCAGCGCCTTGTTTTGGGTTCTGGAATCGCGACGTTTGGAGAGATCCCGAGAGAAGGCGGACAAGGTGAGCCTGCTGCTCGCGCCCTTTGAAAAAAGAGACTTCGTGGGTCTAGATATGGAATCCAGAAACAATAGAAAAAGATGCGTGGGTCGTGTGATGAAGAACTTGGCGGATCTGTCGCTGCAAGCGGGACTAGTGGACGATGCTCTAAGCTTATACCACAATGCAAATGAAGACTTTGAGGTCAGTCGGTGATTCCCTTTGGGTTGGGGCCACGGAGGAGGGTCTCTGTGCAGCATCCGCAATGTTATTGTATCCACAAATGCGCGAGATCGAGACACTGCACAGAAACTCTTCGCTTCAGGAAGCGGGTGAGTACTTAAAACTCCATTTGATTTGCATAGCTAAGATCTGATCTTTTTCAGGTACCTCTCCTCTGAAAAACACGCCTGAAAAGTGGCGTGCTAGCGATGCCACCAAGAAAATCAGTGCCAGTGATGCAACTGCGAATAATGTGGATTCTACCCAGCAACAGCAACACCGCATGACCTCCAACTCATCTTCCTGCTCATCGGTATCTTCCTTGATAACGACCACAACAACTTCATCCGCCTCGGACACGCCGACTACGTCATCATCTTCCACATCGACGATATCAGCCGCACCGATTCCGGGACATCAGAGAAATGGTGATCTGCCAGGGAACATTCTCAAGGCGGAGGAGATCACCAACTATTATCGCAAAGCCATTATTAACTACAGTAAATATAGGCATGCAGCTACAATTGAAACTGAGGCGGCTCTGAAAGCATCGCGAATTTGCATAGAGCAGAATCGTCCATTGGATGTGGCCATGTTCCTGCAGAATATTTTGCACATCAACCTTAGCATGAGCGAGCCGGAGCGCGTCAAGAGATTCGAGATTATAACAGAACTCTACCAACAGATCGGATATCAAAGAAAGGCAGCTTTTTTCCAACGACTCGCAGCACTGAAACATGTGCAGCAAGGCAGCCAGGCGCCAGACTGGAATCAAAGCTATCGCCTCATGTTGGGTAGTTTTACAGGTTATTTACTTTGCTTGGATCCGCTTGAGGTGCTGGAGAATGCTGCCGGCTGGCCGGCACTGCAAATTGATCAGGTCCAGACCCTCATAACGGCCGCCAGGCGATTGGGACACTCAGCTCTGGCCACACGGCACATGACCTTTCTGCTGCAAACGCAGTGGGATAACATGTCGCCAACGGAGCAAAGCGAGATGGCTGTGCAACTGCAGGTAATTTGACTATATCAATAAGAAATATACTGATTTAATGATGAATTTTTGTAGAATTTAAGCGCCCAGTGCGAGGGCTCACCTGTTCCCTTGGTGCTGGAGAATGGCACTGTGATACCACCCGCTAATCTCACGGATCTGCCCTACTGCCTTGATCTACAGGTTAAAGATTTGCCCGCACACTTAAGACCGCAGCGAATTAAGGTGGCAAAGGCGGACAGCGGGCCTTTTCTCTTTACTCCGATACACTTTAATTCGGTCGACAGAAGGGACAAGAAAAAGGACAAAAATAAAATAGGTAAGAAATATCCCTCTACAAAATGAATCCCTCTTAGTAATTTTTATATTAGCTTTTCAGTGGGTGCAAAACGACCTTAGTGAGGTGACTGTGCGCCTGCGTAATCCCTTACCCTTTGAGTTGGCCGTAACGGACATGAGATTATTAACGAACGGTGTGGTTTTTGAGTCTCTGCCACAGACTATTGTTCTCCAGCCACATGTTCCTACATATGTTGCGTTGCATGGTACGCCCATTGAGACAGGGCAGCTGGATCTGCAGGGCTATAGCACGCACACGCTCGGCGTGAAATCCAATTGCCGGCTTAAGCACATGCGTGATCGTAGCTTTCCCCCTAACTACTTGGTGGATGTGATTCCTGCCCTTCCTAGGATATCCGTGAAAACTTCGCTGCCTCAAACAGCAACGTTTAGCAATATGAACAGTGCTGATATAGTGGTGACCTCTGCTAGCTTAACCCTGTACAATGGAGAATCCTCCAGCTGCACGATAACTATCACTAATGAGAGCGCCACGCTATCTCTGGAGCACCTAGATGTTAACATCAACTCTAATGTAGAACAGGAGCTCCAGAAAAAGATCTTCCGTATAGATAAAGATGATTTGATGGTGAGATTTGATCTGTAAGAAAGAGTTCTAAACCATTGAGCATTCCTTTTTCTACAGTCGAAGCTGCCAGTACCTCCTCAGGGCTCCATTGAAATTGTTTTGAATGTTTATGCTGAAGCGGATTTTGTGTGTCCCCATCCACCGCCTTCGTTGCAATCAAGCGCTGCTGCCGGGGACTACGGTGCTGCCTCATTAACGCACTGCTCCAACTTTTCCACATCTGGACACGCCAGCTTACCATCGAGAGTGGGATCTCCACAACATCGTCGAAACGAGCCTCAGAATTCGAGTTTCCGATCAACGTTTTCAGGCGGTCAACCTTCGCTGGCTGCTTTGAGCCTGCAGCCAGGCGGTGGTGGAGGAGCAGGACCTTCCAGTCTAGGATCGCAATATTCCCAGCACATAGAGGCACAAGTCCGATTGAAGTACTCCGGGGGAGAAGCTCTTACGGCGGGATACTGTCGTCAGTGTGCGGTGTCTTTTAATCTAGAACTTTTGCCCAGCGCGCAGATAACTAGCTGGGATGTGCTTCCCGCAGAAGTGTAAGTGATAATCTCATCCATTTCCAAAGTCTAACTAAAAATGTAATACATATAATCTGCAGAGCCTCCCAATTTTACCTGGTACTTGACATTTCCAACCTGACCGCTCAAGAAATGTCGCTCAACTATACGGACACCAAGAATATACTCATCGAGGCCAAAGAAAGCTGCCGGGTACCGATACCCGTGGATCGCTGCTCTCTGGAGCAAGTGGTTGCTGCCCGAGCAGCCGAGGTAGCTGAGAACCTGGAAAGAGGTATAACAATTTATATTTAATATAAATTCATAATTTAACATGCATTTTCTGCCAAACAGAACTCTGCTTTCGGACTCAGTTGCTGTCGTTTAATGATGCTCTGAGCAAGCTCTGCTCAATTCACATAGCAGAACGGGTGAAAATCAATTGGCTGTTGACAGGAACTGATATCCAGGGAATCGCTTCCCTGCGAGGAATTGTTCTCTCACAGTCGATGGTGGATTTGACAGCTGTATCGCCTTTGGAGTGGGGTAACTTGCTTGGAATCCTTGTTTATTGATATAATGTCAACAATAATTTAATGTTTTCTTTAGCGATCAGCTTTCAGGAGACACCTGTCCAGCCACACAGTGAGATTGTGTGCACGGTAGGCCAGCGTGCTCTGCTTAGTATTCAGCTAGCAAATCAATCCCTGCAGCCACTTAGGAACTTGGTGCTAAGCATTAAGTTTTATCAGGATTATCTAAATGGTATGGAGAATTACAATTTGGAGACACGCGTGGCTATTTCAGGGCCAAATAGGTAAGGGTTAACAAAAGGTTATATCAATATATCCATCTAAATATCATTATATTTTACAAACTCCTTAGAATTGCAATTCCCCTGCTGGACAAGCAGGAGCAGAAACAGCACACATGCTCTGTGATATTCTTTACGCCTGGACGCTTTAAGGCCAGCATCGAGTGCACCAGCAATCCGCAGAAGCAGCCAGAGCAGCCAGCGTCACTGCTAACCCGTTCCTGTCCGGCGGAATCGGAGAATGTCGCCCCATCGGTCATGTTCTCCTCCAGCTACGATGAACAGCAGGTTCATGTGTGGAAGTTCATTCCGCCCATTGAGGTGACCGTCGTGGAGCAGTGAAATGTTAACTGTCGCTAGTTTAATTTCGTTATTATATTTGTATATGTATTGTGTATACACCCAATTCCCCACTATCCAGTTAAATAGTTTGATTCCCTCGCTCTGTTATACCCACGAATACGAAAAGCAATTGTTTGTAAAGAATTCTAAACTAGATACAAAATATAACGCATAACTCTGTATATAATTAAGCTCAAACAAAATACTGTACCCTAAGCTTGATAGAAAAAAATGGCCATAACATAAATCTTATTGAATCTATAGTCCATGCCTGTAAAACATATACTATATAAATATTTAAACATGCGTTACGCCGTGGTGTATTTATATACATAGATAGCAAATGTTCCGCGCACCTCAAAACCACGCCTAGCATTATACATTTTGATAACAAGCTCGTATTTACAAAATATTTTTATACAATTACCGGGGCAATACATATGTATCATTATGAATTACAAATTAAGATTGTTGCTAAAGAAATTATGCCAATGAAATGTGTGAATAACTGTAGTGTGTAAACGCAATAAACTCTATTTGACGAAACATGCAATTTGGTTGATTAGCCCTTCTCAGCCCAGTCTTCTTATCTCGTCCATGGTGAAGCCGTTGCGGTTGAGCATTATGCAGGAGAGCACGTACACGTAGTAGCTTCCTGGGATGAAGGTCAGTGCTCCGATAATGCCCAGTGCCCACACACGATCCGATCGCTCCCGGCTCGTGTCGGTTATCCAGCTATGAGTGGCGAAGGCAATGCAGATCTTCAAAACAAAGAAAAAAGTAAGTCAGTTTTATGAATGTTGTATGTACATACATACATATATATTAATTATAGGAAAAATATATACATATCTTCATATGCCTATAGATACTTATTACTTACTATTCCACCAATGAAAAGCAATAGGATGATGGCAATGGTTTTATAGGGAACTGGGCCGGGTACCGCCGGTTCTGTCCACTGCTCATTGACGAATCCATCGGTCTCGCATTGGGACTCAACAACCTTCACATATACCCCAGTATCTGTTGACGGGGCACTCCCACCTCCAGCATTTAGACGAAGCCGTGAATCCGTTTTGGTGGGCTGCATATTTGGTCAACAGGCCGATCTTGACCGAGTGCCGAATTAACACTAAACAAACATTTAGCGGCGTTCAATTCAATTTTAGCAAAAGAAAACAGATGGTGGGGCTGCCAACCTGGGCTAAATACTTATAAACAGTAAAGACCGAATAAATTAAACCATAAAAGCAATTGAATAGAAAATAATTATTTTTAAAGGCCAATTATGGACCGTTAAATGATATGATTTTATAATTAATACAAAATTAATATTTTTCTGAATTGAATCATTTATTTTTGAATGTTGGAAGTCATTTCAAAATAAATGATGCTTTAAAATCAAAATGCAACCAATTTTGGTTTTCGAAGTCATTGATTCTTTATATTCAAATATTTTATAATTTCGGAACTAATTAATTATTTAAAAAGCCTTTCAATTATATTGAACCCTTTTTAAGAGGCTCAACCGAGCTCCTGCTTAATCTAAGAGCTTTCCGTGGAACCCGTCATTGGCCAGCTGGCTATAAACGTGAAAATAAATGGTGAAATCCACGTCCATTTCATTTCGTTTGCCCAAAAACGTCTCTAGGTTTCGGAGTAGATCCCAGTTTCTTAATTCTCTTTTGATATGTGCACCACAATATATATAAATATATAAAGGCGGGTTATACTATATGTTAATTTTTTTTATTATTTATTAAAAACAATACATTGATCATTTTGGATTCAAATAAATCAAAACATCCACTTTTAATCATCTGTAAACAAAAAAAATCTGGATAAGAATAAACAATTTTTTTTAAAGAAATGTTTACAAAATAAAATTTGAAAGATCAGTTCTACTATCAAGACAAATCAGTCATAGACATCAGATGTCCCTATCTTAGGATTTCATCAGATTGAAATTTAAAACCTTAATGAAGATAATTTCTTACCTACTGATTAGGAATTCTTTCCGAACATAAGACACCTAGAAAAGATAAACATCTCTATAAAACACGTTGAATTTCAATTCTATTAGAAAATAAAATATTAAAAATCAGTTTTACTATCAAGATAAATCAGTCATAGACATCAGATGTCCCTATCATAAGATCTCATCATAAAAATAGAAGAGAAGCTTAGGAGGATACTTACATTTTTGGATTTCCTTATACGGTTCTTCCACTAGTTATCCAGTTTTTCCTGAAAGTAATATAAATTACCAAATTAATTTTCTGTGTTACGAGCACACACTTGACCATTTTATAATAATAATCAGTTCTACTATCAAGATAAATCAGTCATAGACATCAGATGTCCCTATCATAAGTTCTCATCATAAAAAACGTGTTTTTGACTTTTAAAATGAATACTTACAAAATCGACAAGAGGTCCGCCTTCTGGTTGTTCCAAAGTATGAACACCACCATCTTTTACCCGTGCTATAAGATATATTTATTAGTTTTCTTCAAGATAAAAATGCAGAAAGGTGAAGATATTATAAAATTCAGTTCTACTATCAAGATAAATCAGTCATAGACATCAGATGTCCCTATCATAAGGTCTCATCAAGAAAGAAATGTTGATTTAAGTATGATAAATAATACTTACTTACAATCATAACCTATTTTGGGTTACAGACCAGCAATTTCACCTAGAATAAAAATATATTCTTTAGTATATTTTTAGAGAAGAACACACATTCAATATTGACATATTTCTTAAATCAGTTCTACTATCAAGATAAATCAGTCATAGACATCAGATGTCCCTATCATAAGATCTCATCAACGTAGTTACATATGCTATGTTTAGAAGAAAACTTTCACTTACCATTTGAATGGATTACAGTTGTTCTAAGAAGTCTCCAAATGAGACTCTTTGGGTTAATGCTGACACGCTGTTTTAGAAATGGATTTCTAATTCCAGATTCTTACATTTTTCAGATATTTTCTTACTTTCAGCCATTAAACAGATAATTGTCTATCAAGTTTTTAATAATTTGTAAATATTTTCTTGAGAAATTCATTTTTATTTTAAGTTATTTTTCTTTTGCTGTGCAACACGTGCTTCGTCTTTCGGTTGGTCATTTAAACTGTGACCGCTTCAACGTTGTGACATGACATCACATCACTAAAAATAAAATACTGAACTGGAAATTTCCTGGATTTTTTGGTAACTTTTGTAAGGCGCCCGGTATTCAAGATTAATTTGAATGTGTTGTACTTTTCTATATTTTTATTATATAAATAGATATTGCGATTCGGACGCTGTTGCGGATACATAACTTGTTCTAAACATCTAACTTTCGCATCCTTATTGGCCAACAAATTAAATTGCTTATTACTTATGATTTACATGGCAGTCAGTGACCTTGCATGTGACTAATCTGAATCAACAAAACTAATCTTACTCGATACAAGGCTGTCATAACTCGAAAAATATTCCATTTTAAGAAAGTATTCAAGGGTAAATGGATATGATTACAATTTATGCAAAAGGTTTTTCCAAAAAATTCTACAAATATACCTAGACATATTTAAAATGTTCAATTTTGGTTTGGTTTTTCAAATATAATCGAATAGGAATTGGGAACAATACAACTATATGACTATAGTTTTATAAGAGCCTTATGGAGTATAATCATATTTTTTGGATTACGACAGTCTTGCATTAAGTGAGCTATCTATCTGTATACTATTTGTATCCCAGCCTCATGGATCCTCCGAGGTTGTGGTTGCCTCCTGTGCCTGCTCCAGTTCCTGTTGCTGTGCCAATCGCAGACGCTTTTTGGCCTGAATATCGGCCAGCGTTTGTTCGATGGAACGCACGTCCTTCTTGTTCTTGCTGGGCACAAAACCGTAGCTTTGGTTGGTCTCCGTCTTGCGAGCAGCCTGCAATGCGGCCGACTCTCCTATGAGGTGGGCATACTTGGCCTTATAGTTGGTCGTAGGTTTTACTTCGCCGGCGTCTTGATCCGCGGCAGCAGACGTGGATGAGGATGAGTTCGCCGCCACAGAGGTGGACGCTTCCTTGTCACTCTGTTCTTGCGCCAATCGCTCCCGCCGTCGTTCCGCATACTCCTTGGCTATCTCAGCATTCCAGCCGTCTCCATTTCGTCTGGCCGTGACCTCGTCCTCGCCAGGAGCATGCTCCTTTTTGTACACAACCGAGTGCCGGTCCACGTCCTCGCGGCCAAAGCTCATGGCAATAAAACCGCCATTTTCGGCTACTTCGTGGATCACAGAGCGATGTACCTTATCCAGCGGCTGGAATTCAATGAACTGTCTGTCATCCTTGGCGAATCGACCCATCCGTTCGTCCACATACTTCCGGAATCGAAGAAGCTCCTCCTTCTGTTTGTTCTGCATACGCTCCATCATTTCGCGCTGTTTTTTGATCAGCGTCTTCTGCTGCTCGTTATTGGCAGGCGGTGCATCCATTGCATTAAGTATAGAGTCGAGCAGGTCCATTTTTCAGCCGTGTTTTTCTCCCTTTTCGGTTGTGTTTTCTTTACAATTCCTAGTTTCTTGTTGATCAATTGGCGGATGTGCGCCTGCGATACGATGTCATGAAATGAATGCGAGGGAATCTCAGTTAATCGAGCGGTTCGCTCTTTGTAGGCGGATTTTTTGGGGACTTACCACTCTCTGGCGTTTATTATTAGCCCGTTGGGGTGTTCGATTGTTGTTGATTTGTTTGTTTTATGTAGGTAAAAGAAATTATAATTATATTGGCAACCGGTGCTTGTGCACCAAATTTATTCTGCGAAAAATACTAAAAATAGTGTCTGCCAACTTGGTTTCAATTACGGTATTTCAGTATTTTTAAATTAAACAACAGCTGATTACACTTCGCGGCAGGCTAGCTTTTTGAATAAAACTTTTAAATATCCTAAGATTTGTTTTTGGAGGTACGATAAAACTTCGTAGGCTTATATAGGACTTACTTATTCATTAAAAGTGTGTATTTTTCATGTTAACGGCACATTTATGTATTGAATTTAGTATCAGTTAATTAAAATTTTTTTTGTTGAGCAGTGTCAATAAGTTATGAAAAACAAGTTGGCAGGTCTCTTTAAGCGCTATTCTGTTTGAAAAACTTCTTCCACGTTAAATCCAAATAGATACCGTTTTATTTTGTTGACACGTGCTGCAATGGAAGCAGAACGACGCACATTAGTCCACTGGTTCCGCAAAGGTCTCCGAGTGCACGATAATCCTGCTTTATCGCAAATTTTTACCGCCGCCAACGCGGAACCAGGAAAATTTATCATCCGCCCCATTTTCATACTGGATCCCGGAATACTCGACTGGATGCAAGTCGGGGCTAATCGATGGCGGTTTCTTCAACAAACTCTTGAAGATTTGGATAAGCAGCTACGGAAACTCAACTCCCGCCTGTTTGTCGTTCGCGGAAAGCCTGCAGATGTTTTCCCTCGTATCTTTGAACAATGGCGCGTGGAGATCTTGACTTTCGAAACAGATATTGAGCCATATTCCCTGTCCAGAGATGCTGCCGTGCAGAAGTTGGCCAAGTCCGCGAATGTTAAGGTGGAAACCCACTGCTCCCATACAATTTACAATCCAGAGATAGTTATAGCCAAGAATTTCGGCAAGGCTCCCATTACGTACCAAAAGTTTCTGGGCATTGTAGAGCAATTAAAGGTACCTAAAGTTTTAGGAATTCCTGAGAAGCTTAAAAGTAGGAATGAGCCTAAAAAAGATGATGTTGAGCAAGAGGATTCGGAGGCCTATGATTGCCCGACTATGGAACAATTGGTCAAGAGACCGGAGGAACTGGGACCCAATAAGTTTCCTGGAGGTGAATGTTTTTGATTTTCTTTATTTAAGTTCATTTCATTAAGATACATTTTTGATTATTTCCATGCCTAGGTGAAACAGAGGCCCTCCTCCGTATGGATGAATCACTAAAAGATGAACTTTGGGTTGCACGCTTTGAGAAGCCCAACACGGCACCAAATTCTTTGGAGCCCAGCACTACCGTACTGAGTCCTTATTTGAAATTTGGATGTCTCAGTGCTCGATTGTTTCATCAGAAGCTTAAAGAAATTCTAAAGCGGCAGACTAAGCATTCCCAACCTCCTGTTTCTCTTATTGGACAACTCTTGTGGAGGGAATTCTACTACACAGTGGCGGCTGCTGAACCAAACTTTGATCGGATGTTAGGCAATGTCTACTGTCTGCAAATTCCCTGGCAGGAACAGCCAGATCATCTAAAAGCATGGACTCATGGACGCACCGGTTACCCTTTTATAGATGCCATAATGAGGCAATTACGCCTGGAGGGTTGGATCCATCACCTGGCACGACATGCAGTGGCCTGTTTTTTAACTCGAGGAGATCTTTGGATCAGCTGGGAGGAGGGACAGCGGGTGTTCGAGCAGCTGCTGCTGGATCAGGATTGGGCCCTAAATGCTGGCAACTGGATGTGGCTCTCAGCGTCCGCATTCTTTCATCAGTACTTTCGTGTTTACAGTCCGGTGGCGTTTGGCAAGAAGACTGATCCCCAGGGGCACTACATCAGGAAATATGTACCAGAACTCTCAAAATATCCAGCTGGCTGTATTTATGAGCCCTGGAAGGCCTCGCTGGCGGATCAGCGGGCATATGGATGTGTCTTGGGCACGGATTATCCCCATCGGATTGTTAAACACGAAGTGGTGCACAAGGAGAACATTAAGCGAATGGGAGCCGCATATAAAGTAAATCGTGAGGTGCGCACAGGAAAGGAGGAGGTGTCATTTGAGGAGCCAGAAACATCCACTTCAGGCAAACGGAAAGTGCGAAAGGCAACCGGAAACGCCCCCAAGCGAAAACGTTAAAAATTGAATATGTATGTATGCTACCTTGTATGAGAGGTAGCTACATAAATATATTTTCTATATATAAGTTTATCGTTGAGCAGATATTAGATGTAAATTTTAAGCTGTCTATAAAATTTTTAATTGGTAAGGTACCTACATTCGGGTACAAATAATATTATATTTGACTTACGATTTGTTGTAAATATATCTAAAGATATCAACTTGAAAATAGTTAAACGAATTATTTAAAGTATTTTTGAAAACTTGAACTTGTTAAATAATTTGGGAACAACACGTATTTGATATTACCACTCAATTTGTAAACATTGTAGCCTTGGATTTAATATCTTCCTCAATCCAGTTGTGTCAGTTGTTGAGCCAAGCTGTGAATTTCAGTCATATCTAAAATTTCGGGAACTTAGGACCTTTCAATTTTTGTTCGTAAAGTATTTTCTTTAAAATTTGGATTTACGTTTTGAGGTGTGATAGTTTTTAAATTTTAAAACTCGAATACTCGGACTAAAATCATGTTTCGCAACTTGTCGATGCTAAGGAACAAACTGGCGATGCAGAGAATTCTGGTCTCCCGATTGACCTCGCGCTCAAATATGTCTACCGGGCTTACCTGCCTCACCATTAACCGACCGCGAAATATCGATGGCGTTACCGTGATTGATATTAATATAAATGATATGGCTAAGAATGACGTCGAGTTCAATCGTAATTTCGTTAACTCGGTGTCATCCATCGAGATCCCCCATTTCCAAGAGTTAATTCAGTCAGTGGCTGCGGATGTAGCTGAAACGAAACCTACAGAGGATCCGGCACCCGCGGACACTGTGGAAATCCTACCCAGTGGGGCACCAAGTTCCGTTTTAGGCGTGGACGGTAATCCCATTGTGCCCATTGAGATCGATGGGTGGAATCAGGAAGATGAGGATCCCACCGTCCAGAAGAACGACAAGGACGTGGACATTGGCAATGACGATGAGTACAAGGCGGAGATGGCACTGCGTGTGCCAGAGGTCCGAGAAGCTGAAATGGAGTACAAGGGCATCAAGGTGAAACTTCCGGAGACTGCTAATCAGGATGTGGGGACCTATCGCTTCCGTCGCGACTCCCAGGATCTCAAGGAGGTCGGCGACGACACTCGCCTTGTCCGGTTCGACAAGAAGTAGACGAAGCATTTTTTTAGTCTTGGGCACAATATTTTTCCTTATCTCATGGTTTTCAAATTTGTTTGAATCTGTTGGCGGGATATCTTAAGACTTTTGTAATCAAGTGTGTTGATGAATGGGGGTTCCTAGTAGAAGTTGAGGCGTTAGTATAATCGAAATAAAACATAAATACAAAGGACATCTGTGAACTCGACCCTGTAGTTTTTGATGATGGGGATACACTACCCCCAAATAGCAATTCAATGAAATCCCGCCGAATGCAAAATCTAGATACAAGTGCTAGCATATGGACACAATAGCAATATGTGGAAATGCAAAATTGTCCAGAGTTCGGTTGATGATTATTATCTGTTGGCCGTTGGTGATGCGGACGTGGCCACTAAGAACTGTCAGTTCTGGCGACCGGTCATGCTTAAATGAAAATCCAACTATAGACCACGACCACTATTTTAACCTACCCCCAGTCTCTGGTCCCCACTCCTGTTCTCCATGTCACAAAAGATCGTTTTGTGGTCAATGGCAACCGAAACCGGGGCAAACACTTCCCATAAATTGCATTAAAAGCGGGCCAGGAGCGAAAACTACTCGTAACAATGCAGCCCGGACATAAACACGCTGCAAAATGTTTGTAGGCTCTAAACCAAAATTGAATTTGCGGTTTCGCCTGTGGGGCGGGCCTGTGGGCGTGGCGGTGCGGTATGAGGTGGGTGTTTAAAGAGTGTGTGTGTGCAGGTGGGGTATTGCAAATAACTGTAAATGAAGCTAAAATGCGGTCAGCCGAATGGGGGATGCAATAAAAATGGCCGGGAGCTCAACGGAACGAAAGGGTGGATCATCGAGATTGATTATAATCAATATGAACAGTGACGGAAAATCGAAATTTGTAGTAAAAGTAGGTATATATAAAATTAGGCTTAAATCTGTATTTAACGAAACGTAAAAGCTAAAATGTAAAAGAGCTCTTAAAATTTTGAAAAGAAAAACCAAGGTTAATCAAAACTTGTTGTTATTTTTTATTCTTTTCAACACTTTGGAATTTTGTTTGAAAATTTTAGAACTTTGTTTAGTAGTAACTATATTCATCGCTTTCATTACTGTCTTTTTTCTCACGCTCCGGGTTGCATATTTTTGAATTATGACCCAAGTTTGAGATTTTTGTCTTATTCGAAAATTTATGGGCCGTTTCGAGTGATTTTTTCTGTCTTTTATAATACTTCAGACATATTTTACTTTGTTCTGTGTTTTCTTTGACAAGTTTCTTAATTATTTCATCGATCTCTTTGATTCGATTCTTAATATTATTTTCCCATAGAATGCGATTTTCATTGTAGTGTTTAAATTGAGCATGAACATTAAATTTTTCTATTATTGGACTCGTTCTGCTGACATTTTCCACTTTCTTAATCCATGTAGATAATTCAACATTTACTGCTGGTATCGGTTTATACTTTTCCACAATTTCCTCTAGTTGCTTTGTTGCAGTTCTATTAAGCTCCCCAATTGTTAGGCCTACGACTGAAATATATATCATTTTAATGAGTTTTATGGCTGATGCTTATGTACTAACTGTAGTCAATATTTGCCAATATTAATATTGCTATAATCTTCATAGTGCTAGTTCTAAAAACTAACTAAAGCCTAACTTAAGTAAAATTTTTAATTGGTTTTTTTAACCAGCATAGCCAAGCAATTTGAGACGCCATACTAAAAAAACGTAGCTTAAACTTATCATTTATCATGCCAATTATTCCCCTTCCGATCTTATTACAAGTTTAAGTACCGCCTTTGAAAAATGAATACCAATGTATTATATATTTGATTTATTTAAAGGCTAAACATAATCGTGGTAATCCCTTTTAACGACAACGTCTTCCTTTTTAAAATTTGAGTACTTAAAGGCGTTTTGAAGAGCACTTTCCTGCAATTTTTAAAATCGAACACATTTCCGACCTCCTTCTTTAAGCGCAATCAGTGCTCTGACTTTTTCCAGTAGCGACTTAATTTGATCTTCGAGCCTCTGTCTTTCCTTGTCGTATGCATCAAATTGTGGTTTTGTAGACTTTTTCAATTCACTGCGAGAACTCAACTTTTCCAGTAGCCAAGATCTTATACTTATTGACAATATTCTGTAGTAACTTCCTCTCATTTTCTTCTACATATTTTATAGAAGCATTACATAGGGCTAAAAAGGGATATGAAATATTATTAAAAAAGTAAATCTAGGATTCTCAAAGCTTTAACTATAGCCAAGACTTGTCAATATTAATATGGCTATGATCTTCATGATGCTGAGATGAAATAGAAACTGATACTTATATTGTTATTTGTTTTTGGTTTTAAGTTTGATAAATCACTAGTGTATCAAATCTATTTGACGAGCTTATTACTTTAATAAGTAAGGAGTGTCCGAACGGTTTGCTTTATGTTCGGGGATCTGATATAACCTATTATATATGCCCTGTTAAAATCACCATCAAACCAAAAGTTACGGATATCACCGAGATGGAGAACTGACATATAGGATATACACATCAAAGTCATCAGTGGCAAAATCCCTCTGACATCGAAATGGACATGTATACTTGGGAAAGCTCACTGCCAGCAGTTTGCGCCTGGAAATGATGTGGTTGGTTAGTTGCGGTCCATGTGCTGGTTCTTCCTGCTGCTCCTGATGACGTTCGGGCATGGAAATGACGACTGGCTGACTGCAAAACTTTTTTCCCTTTTTTTTCGGCCTCGACCAAGTTGTAACCGTAAATGTAACTACGGCAGTTAAAGTTGGGTCCGTCGGCAGTAGGTCAGACATCCGACATCCAGACATCAGACGCCAGGCTAGTGCGGTTTTTAAATGAAAGCGGGAAAGCCAAAAAATTGACAGCCAGTGGGGTTTTTTTTGCAGTTTTGGAAAAGGACTCGCTTTTGGGGATTATAAGCAGAAAACTTTTCATATGTATGGGAAATTCTTTTAATACGAAAAGTCGTTTTAAACATAATATTTCTAAATAAATCTATAACTTTATAAGCTAGTAAATAATACACTTATCCTTTAGATGTTCAGTGAAAGGGCTTATATATTGAACTCAAAAATTTTCTTAAACTTAAATTCTTAAATATTTTATATTACTACTACCTTAGCATTACTAAACTATGGACTGCAAAAAAATAAATCGATAAGTCAGTCAGTCGAGATGCAATCAAAGCAATCAGCTTCAAATGGACCGCTCAGCTGCCCCGCCTCATTCGGCCGCACTTCCCTTCCTTCCGCTCCTCCTTCCAGCAACCGGAGGCCATCAACATCATCATTATCATTACCGTTATCATCGTTGGTCGGCTGGCATTTCCGCTGGGTTCGAGAGTTGGCCAAGGGCCATTACAGAAGTTGACCAACTTTTAATACCCGCACTGGCCATGTTGCGCATGTGTAATCCCATTAAAATCCAATAAGTTAAATTATTTCCATTATTATTATGTGAACGCACTTTGTCGCCGTCCGTCCATCAGTTTATCCATGCCATACGCCCCTGCTGCCCACCTCTTTTGCGTCCTGCGTGATAAGTGCTCATGTGGGCGTTTATCTCTCCTGTGGATTTTGTCCTCCAATACCATTTACCTACTCATCGATGCACTCAAAAAATAAATGCTTAGAAATATTTGTAATATATTTTTGAAGTACCTATTTAACATTTTTGAATATTTAAAGATTTTTTAAGATTTTAAGGTTAGCTTTTTGTTGTTATTATTTTTTTTTGAAATGCTTAGAACTATTGTCGATCATCGCATTATCTTTATCATGTACGTTAGTTTTAAATTGCAGTGTACTATTGAAACGGCAGCACTTTTGACCAATATCTGCAACACTTCAAACTCTGCTGGCTGTTTCTGTTTCATCTCCTGGTCGATGTCCGAGTGTGGTCATGCCATCAGCCCCCAGCTTCTGTCCCCAGGTCTCCTGTTTGTTGGCCATTAAATTGCATTACGTTCGTGCAATCATAATGATTGCCGTTGCCATTGCCGTTGTTGTTTCCATTGTGTCGAGTAATTTGCGTATATTTTTTAATTACTTGGATGCTGGCTTCGAAGCTTAAGAGCCGCTGAAATGTCGGTGGGACTTAACTTTAATAATAGATTCCATCAATGGAAATAACTTCAGAAGGATCGAAATATCAAGAAATGTTAAGCCCATTTCGTAAAACTTATTGGATAAATATATGAAATTGTGTTTATCCAGACTTTGTAAGACTTTCAACATATATATATCAACTTATTGATTATATTTTTATATTGACTAGCAAAGCCCCAAAACAATCGCTTTAAACTTACTTAATAAAGATTACAATTTAAAAGCCAGTAAATCTCCTCTTTCAAAATCCCAACAAATAGGTATTACATGGAATTGAAAACTTGCTCGGACCAAGCCCTTTGATAACACGCTTACAATGGCATCGTTAATGGATCCACTGGACGGATGCAATCACCATCAATATCCAGCAATCAATACTCGATGAGCCAATCGAAGGCAAACCAGACCATAAATGCCTGTGAGCCACTTGAAAGTCATCAAAGCTGTTATCTAATGGAATTCTTAAACTTTTGCCGGCCATTTTCCTCTCACTATCTCTCTCTCTCTTTGTCCCGTTCTCGATTTTCCCAACCAAAGGGTCCATAATTAAACATGCAACGCATAATGGAGCTCTAATGGCTAATGAATGGGGTGGTTATGGGTGGCTTTGGAGAGCGGAAGGAGATGGAATGCAAGATGCCAGTCGGTGTAAAATTTACATTTTTCGCCCCACTACCCCTTCATTTGCCCTGTCCGCCGCGTCAATGGAATTGAAAATTAACTCATTAAACTCTGAGGCGACCAGCGCGTCGTATACGTAATGCGGAAAGATCTCGCCAAAGATTAATGATTTTCCAAGTGACAGACAGAGGAAGCGAAAGAGAGATAGAGAGAGAGAGTGAGAGGTAGAAAACGTGAGATATAGATCTGCCAGTTGGCGAGAATTTCCATGCAATTATTTCCATATCAACTTCAATGCGCCGTGAAAAGTCTCGCGACGAGGAGCAGCAATGAAAAACCGATTTGCTGTTGTGACAATTGTAATTTTTCACTCGCTTGGTTTCATTGTCCGAGTTAAACTGATGGTGCCACTGGCAGTGGTGCCACTGTGACACAGCCGCAGCCACAGCCACTTCCTCAGTACCTCAGATAATCAGAGGTTCCTCGCCGGGCTTTTCCTCTTCTGAATTTCATTTAAATGATTACGGTTTTTCATTTCCCTTTCACAGTTTGTTTTTTTTTTTGTCTCTCCAAACCGGCGACCATCACGTGAGGCATAAATTTTTCATCGAGCCTCCCGTCTTTTGGGTATATTTTGCACTCCATTGGCAACTGGTTCGTGGGGATGACCAATTGGTTTTATGACCCATTCCGGCACACTTATTTCCTTCTGTTTATGTTGGCGAATTCCCTTTTACGAGCGCCTTTCATTTCATTTCATTTTGTTAATCAATTTCTGTTTGTACATGGCGTTGGAGACAGGCCTAAAACAACATTTAAAGATGACTTTTTTGCTGTTACTTTACACAAGGAAAAAGTTACTTTATGTTAAAAATGTAAATCATTTTTCCAGATATCTTAAAATGTTTGAATATATTATTTTAATTTATTATAATTATTATTTTAAAGGCTTGGAGCTGTGTAAATTTTTAAATTTTTAAAAGTTTCTGTTTATATTTCTGTCAAATTTTTCTCCCTAGTTACATCTTCTTGTGGTTCCTCTTATATTCTTTTCAAAAAGCTTTCCATTTAAAATTAGCTGACCACAAATTGAACAATTAAACTAACATATAGCTATAAAGACTCGCCATATATATACTCGAAAGTTTGTCCAAACATCTAGCACATGTAAATATATATTTGCATTGCGGTTTGACCACAAAACTCGGCACATGTCAATTATGCAAATTCGTTTTTCGCTTTTATGGCCTCAAATTTTTTGGCTCCCAGATTTTTGGAAACGTTTTTATAAATTCATTAGAAAATAAGTTTTATGTAGGACCCTTGTTGTTCTTCCCACGGAAACTCTCCCTATGCTGACCCAAAATTTATGCTTAATATGATTTCCTTCTCGCCAACTAAAACAAAATTTGGTTGCAAACTACAAAATGATTAGTTTAAAGTTTAGTTAGATTAGGCTTGCAAAAAAATTTGCAAAATAAGTTTCAAAAAGTTTTAAAGTTATAAAAAAACGTCAAACTTTAAACGTTTTTAAAGGAGAGCAAAGTTCAGTAAATTCTTTGAGGTTTAAAACTGGCAATAAGCATGTTAAATTTTAGTTTCGTCTTATCTTTACTTTAACTAATTTTATCATTTAACTTGACTAACCTAACATCAGTTGCTGCATAATCTGAGCAGGACCAAATCACAAACATAATTTAAAAGTAAATTTCAATTACCAAATGAAGGGCATTTATAAAATATGAGCTAGATTCGTGACCACACCGCAGACATGATACAAAAGTAAATGCAACATTTTTCGAAATATCAGCTATTGCCCCTCGCCAGCGCCGAAGCTCTTTTGTTGCCATTTTGTGAACGACCGCAAGC